GTCTGCGCGACCAAATTCAGAATTAGGGTTGTGTCAAAGGGTCCTACACTATAGATACAAGCACAGCAGCAATCGTCATGTTGAGGTTGAAGCGTGTTGGTGAGATGTGTGCGGCATAAGCAGCATACAGAAGCAACCTTTCGCTAAACGCGCACCATACTGCATATTCCAAGCCCTTCGTACCAAAACCTTCAACCTCCCAAAGATAGGCTTCAGACGCCAAGCTCATGCACGTTGAGCAACAACATGCAACCTTCAGCGTACAAAGCAGGCATCAAATCCCTATCCCGTTTGTGCACACTTTGGGCTTCAAACCTGCTGCCAAAAAAATGTACCTGACATGTAACATCAATCAAAGTCCCGTCATATCTACATAAACAGAAGCCTTAACAGATCTTAACAGAATCTCTGCACCACCAACGTAAAGCTCTGAACAAGTCTTGCACAGCCCTTAGTCTTGTAGAAGTTTCACGAATTAGGACACGCAGCTTCCTGTTTTTCTTGTATACTTCTTGCAGTTAGGGGTTCATTGGGTTTGGCAAGTAGGTTATAAACGGCATTCTAGTCAGCATACTAAGCCCAATTAGGGGACCTATATCCCCATGTGTCGCTTGGCCTTCAAGTATGCCATTCCCTATCAATATCCGCATGGAGCTAGGCTGTGGAGCAAAATTGGTATCTACTCCTTAATCTTAAGCCCTAAGCCCCCATTCTAGCTAGCTCCAACCTCGGCATATGATCTAGAGTCTGAACTCCTCAATGGGGGTTATATAGGGGATTATATTGGAGAGCATTCCAGGGGTTATTAGAGGGGATACTAGGAGTTTAAACCATGGCTCAGATGACTCCGTAGAATCTGTGAACCTCTACAGATGCCCATGCATGCCATGATTTGCAGTTATTTTTCTGTTAGATTCTCCGTTCTGATTATGTAGGCCCTCTTTCCTTACATCAACCTTGTGCCCTAAGTGCTAGCTTTAAGCAAGAAAGCTTGCACAGTTAGGACCCTATAGTATGAATCTGTATGTGGGGGTTTCCCGAAACTAGGTGTACTGTTTTGGGGTTCCCATAATAAGGACTATAGCATTTTGGGGTCTATATTTGGGTCCCCTTATTTTGGGAAACTAGCATATGAAACCCTTCAGTAGGCCCACGCAGTCCGAAGCTAAGGCTCGCAAGTTGCACGCCTTGGGGATACGAAGCTGCCGCCGCCGTGCTGCGCATCTTCGGCACGGAGCTGGGCCCCGAAGGCAGGGACGGCAAGCGCTTGGCACTTTGAGTTTACCTAAAGGGTCCCAAGTACCTACATAGTACAAAGTATGGCTTCTGTACTAGAACTTCCCTTACAGTGTAGGTAAGTATTCCCTATATGGTACTTGGGACCCTTTTGGTTAGGGTCTTGTGTGTCAAGCATGGGGTGTAGGATTTAACGGTTGATGGTTCAGAGGCTGGTCCATCAAGAAACTAAGCCTAGGGCCTAGGATCGTGTTGGCAAACTCCCAACAAGGGACCACCGTTTTCTTGAAGCCTCTGCAAGATGCGGACATCACGAATCCAGGCGTGTCACGCAACGCATAAAGCTTGATGATGGGGTTAAATGGGAGTTTCTTCGCGCTACATGTCCCTTTGCGGAATCCGCATCAAGAGATTCTGTATATTCAACGGAGAAGATACAGGGGTCCTGTATTATGAACACAGTGACTGGGCTGAGCTCCTTTGTTATGAGAGCGGCGCGGCGTTCAGTCTCAAATGGGGAAGCACAACTTTCACCACCTCACCACATCGGCCTTACTGACTATACGCTCTGTTATGATTCTCTAAACCCTTGAACCGAAATCTGAATCACGACTTCCCCGCCAATGACAGACCGCAACACCCTGACATCGGCAGGTTGGCAGCAGCTTCGCGCCAGCTGCTCCGAACTGGCAGAAAATGCCGGGTTGTTTCTTTAGCACTTTCAGAGTTCGCCATGGAAGCTTCAGCAATTGTAGTTCACAAGGGCTCAGATAATCTGACTACAGCCCATTGCATACCCATGAACCCCAGACCCACACAGTTCATTCTGAAAACGTACGCGAGCATTTTCCACAGCGGCAGACAACCTCCTGCAGCGTTTAGGTCGTAGAATAATTAGAATCATGAGGCCGGCGTCGGTCGCTTCAAGTTGTTGAGCTTGAACGCAAAACTTTCAAACTTTGAACTGAACATTCTAAGGGCCCTGCAACGCAAGACTTGAAAACCCGCCGGCGAGGACGGGAAGAGCTTCCTTGAGATCGACTTTGAGTTCAAGGACCTTAGGGTTTAGGGTTTAGGGTTTAGGAAGTTCCTTGACAAAAGCCCTGCACGATCGGCATCCGTCATTCTCCCAATGCATCTGTAACCCTAAAGGTCCAAGCACACCAAGAGTAGGGCTTTGGGGCCTAAATAGGATTTGGGCCGTAAAGCCCTATTCTTTGGGTCCTTGAACCCTTAAGGATTCTGTAAGCACATATCGAGTTTCAGAAACGTATCCATTCCTGGTCGTCGTGCAGGGGCCCTTGTTTTGCGGAACTGGGCTCCCATAGAGGTGTTTTAGGGTTTAGGGTTGTATGGTTTGGGGTTTAGGGTTTAGGGCTGCGGGACAGTGACATATGGCTCTGAGTATAGAGAAAGAGATGGCGCCTGCAAGGTTATGGGCTCCCTAGCACCCCTGACTACCTCCCTTGGGCTCCTGCTTGATCAAGCTACTCTGAGGTTGATTAAGGAGGAGCCTCGGGCGAGGTAGTAGAGTAGAGAAAGGTCTAGGGAACCCATGAGCCAGGGCCTTTGGAGGGATCTATGGTTACTGATAAGCCAACGAACTTGGCTATGATTGCGTAATCCCGCTATGTGTGTCCCATATAAGCCCCATATAGTCGCTGATTGCGTCATCCTTCTATATGGTCCCAATACAAGCCCCATCTAGTCCCTATGAACACCACCAAACCTCCCAGTGCACCAGGACGGCACGCTGCGTGCCACACAGACCTCAGGTCAACTCCCCGAGGCGCCATACTAGGAGTTTAGGGTTTAGGGGTTTAGGGTTTAGGGTTGCTGTTAAGGAACTTAAGCTAAGCTACTATACTAGGGAAACCTTATTCTTTCCCATATACCAATAATACGGTGACTTATTTCACCTTCCTGAACAGCAACACACTATACCTTGTTCCTTTGTTCTGGGTTGCATCATCTTGCAGGTAGGTATTTCCTGTGCATGTCCTTCTACGCCCAAAACCCGCCTACAAGATCTATCTTACTGGTTCTTAGTAGGGGATACGGCAAATAGTATTATACTAGGGCATTCTCTGTGGGAATAATATTCCCAAACCCTAAACATATGTATATGTGTATGTATATNNTATATATATACATGTAGAGAGACAATTCCTTTTTCCTACTAATTAAGAACCAGTAAGCTTGAGGGCAAAAGCCTCGAAGCAAGTGCTGCGCAGTGCTCAAGACCGGGGTGGCTTCTAGGTTGCGTCGAAAGGGAGCATTGCGATGACTTTTGGAGAGCTTTAGGGTTTGGGGTTTCCGGTCCGCTTTGCACAAGCTCTCAGATGTGGGTCTAGGATGACGGGGACTGATGAGACATTTCCAACTTAACAATTTTGAGGTTGAACCCTTGAACAGGACCCCTCATAGGCTTTGGGGGGGCACATCATCTAGCACCTAGACCTAGGCAACAAGAGTAGAGCACTGAAAATCGGTGTTGTATGTGTGTTAGAAACTATCTTTCAACCACTTTAATGCCTCAGCGCCGTGGTTTTAGGAGCTGTGGCATCGTCCTTAATCGTCAACACTACATCCGAACCCTAGACAGTAGAGCTTTGACTACAGGTGCTTGGAGTTGGGGACCAGGGTCCCGTATATGCTAGGTAAGCTCTTCCTGTTGCCCTACATGAGTCCAACCCCTCCGAGCCCCGTACATTTAAGACCTGAACCGTGCGGCTAGCCCCTACTTGGAGGATCAGGGGGA